GGGGGCGGGGCTGGGCGGAGGGCAGAGGGACACAGTGGCACCGGAAGTCGCCCCCCAACTCATCCCCGCTGCCTGTTCCCACTGAGCCCCGCACACTGACTTGGGTTCCTGCCGGGGTCCCCACGGACACGCCACCTGCTGTCGGGGGCGATGGGCACCCTCCAGCCCTTGATCTGGTTGAGCTCGGCGTCCGAGACCTCGATGTGCAGCGGGAGCCGGGGCGCCCACACCGTCATCTCCAGGGGGGCGCTCAGGTGCTGGTAGGTGAAGGTCACCACCGCCGCCACCTTGCCCTTCATCTCCTTCCCGTTGACGAAGACATAGTCGCAGTGGTCGGACACCTGGGGGGGGGGCAGAGGCCGTGAGTTCCCGTCCTGGCCCACGGCCCACGGGCACCAGGGAAGGCGTTTCTGTGGTCCGTGTCCTGGGGTCTTTCCCGGGAAGCCTCCTGCCAGGGGGCGTGGCTGGGGCCCAGGACTCGGCTGCCCCCTGCTGGGAGGGCAGGGTGGGCCCCCCCAAGGGTGGCCGGGCACCCAGCACATCCTGGGCGGATGGTCCCCGCGGGAGCGGTGGGCAGAACGCCCGGTCCAGACCGACCCCTCTTCTCCTCCAGCCCCTGGTCCCTGGGCTCATTCCAGGGTTCAAGGCTCCAACCCCGAGATGAGCTGGAGAAACGCAAGGTCTGGGGGAGCCGCTGAGACCAGCTCCTCCCTCTTGTTAAAATATGACCCGTTGTTGCCCAGCCAGCGTGGTTCAGTGGTTGAGTGTTGACCTATGAACCAGGAGGTCAGGGTTCGATTCCCGGTCTGGGCACCTGCCCGGGTTGTGGGCTCCGTCCCCCGTGGGGGGCGTGCAGGAGGCAGCCGGTCCATGATTCTCTCTCCTCATGGATGTTTCTCCCTCTCCCTTCTTCTCTGGAATCAATAAAAAAATATTTTAAAGAAATATGACCAGGTGTTCGAGCCGAGGGATTTATTCGCTCCCACTTCACAGTGCTGACGGCTGGAAGGGCCGTCCCTTCAAGCTCCCCACCCCTCCCAGACCCCGAGGCGGAACCACTCCGACGGGCACGGCCGGGCACTTATGAGAATTTAATGCCATCTCCTTTTTTCTGCGTAAATGCCGCACGAGTATAAATCTTAGTTAAATATCGCCAATACTTGTGGGGAAATTTATGTTCTCATGGTTTGCTCTTTTTTTTAAAGAGCTAGAGCTAAGGATATTAAAATTCTTCCCCCTCCCCCCCTTTGAATTTAGCCTCCAGGAATATTTATTTGCATCCGTTTCTCCATCTAGGCATCGCCTCTTCGAAATTAGTTTTTATCCTGGGCCGAACAAGTCACGTGCACAACAGTGACAAGGAAATGCGTGGCTACGGGGTACCTAGGGCTGTGCCCACGGCACCGCTCGGCATCTGATTAGATGCTTCGCCCACGGAACCCTCGCCAGGAGTCTGGTGGGAGGCACCGTTACCCCATTTTCCAGACGATAAACTGAGGCACCAGGTCCCTTCGCTGTCAGGGACGCATCCCGCTGGCTAATGAACGAGAGACGACTTTACCTATCTCTGTGGCATCTGTTAACTTTTATATGGATACTAGAGGGTGTTTCTATCTCTCTCTCCCTCTCAATTCCTCTCTGAGATCAATAATATATATGTATATATATGTAATAAAAGCATAATATGCTAATTAGACTGGACGTCCTTCTAAATGACCTTCTGAATAAAGCCAGGGCCGTGAGGGAAGCCCGGGTCCCGGGTGCCAGAGGGAAGCCAGTGCCGGCAGCCGGGGGAAGGAAGGCCTACTTTTGCATGAATTTTTATGCACCGGGCCTCTAGTAGATATATAAAAATGACAACAAAAACATTGAGGCCAAACACAATGTGTGTACTGGCTACACATACGACCGGAGACCCTTGAACTTGCAGCCTCTGACGCAGAACGCAAGCGAACCTCATGGTATTCTTTTGTTTGGGGGACAGGGGAGGGGGCAGGGGGGAAGGGGGAGGGACAGGCACAGGGAGCTCCCTGGAGGGGGAGGCGCCGGGTCCTCCGTCCTCAGGGCTTTAAGGGGAGACTTTAGGGGAGGCCCCAGGGGAGGGTCTCAGTGGGAGCGCAGCAGCTCCCGGGTGTGTCCTTCAGGGTCGGGGTCTCCCCTGATTGGCTGGCGGCACCAGGTCGGGGTCTCCCCTGATTGGCTGGCGGCACCAGGTCGGGGTCTCCCCTGATTGGCTGGCGGCACCAGGTCGGGGTCTCCCCTGATTGGCTGGCGGCACCAGGTCGGGGTCTCCCCTGATTGGCTGGCGGCACCAGGTCGGGGTCTCCCCTGATTGGCTGGCGGCACCAGGTCGGGGTCTCCCCTGATTGGCTGGCGGCACCAGGTCGGGGTCTCCCCTGATTGGCTGGCGGCACCAGGTCGGGGTCTCCCCTGATTGGCTGGCGGCACCAGGTCAGGGTCTCCCCTGATTGGCTGGCGGCACCAGGTCAGGGTCTCCCCTGATTGGCTGGCGGCACCAGGTCAGGGTCTCCCCTGATTGGCTGGCGGCACCAGGTCAGGGTCTCCCCTGATTGGCTGGCGGCACCAGGTCAGGGTCTCCCCTGATTGGCTGGCGGCACCAGGTCAGGGTCTCCCCTGATTGGCTGGCGGCACCAGGTCAGGGTCTCCCCTGATTGGCTGGCGGCACCAGGTCAGGGTCTCCCCTGATTGGCTGGCGGCACCAGGTCAGGGTCTCCCCTGATTGGCTGGCGGCACCAGGTCAGGGTCTCCCCTGATTGGCTGGCGGCACCAGGTCAGGGTCTCCCCTGATTGGCTGGCGGCACCAGGTCAGGGTCTCCCCTGATTGGCTGGCGGCACCAGGTCAGGGTCTCCCCTGATTGGCTGGCGGCACCAGGTCAGGGTCTCCCCTGATTGGCTGGCGGCACCAGGTCAGGGTCTCCCCTGATTGGCTGGCGGCACCAGGTCGGGGTCTCCCCTGATTGGCTGGCGGCACCGGTGACATCATCCTCACGAGGCAGCACCCCCGCCCCCCCCCCAGCTTCCTCAGTTTACAGACCATCCTCGAGGGCAACACACGGCGCTGCGTCTCCCTCACCCCCTGGAATCCGCATCCTCACTTTCAGCATCTGCTGCCCTCGCGTCCCAGAACCTTCCAGAACCTTTCCGAGCCCCAGTCTCTCCCAGGCGCCACGGTGCAGGGCACGTGTCTGCAGAGCCCACAGCACCCTGGCCGGTGCCGGGACTCAGAGCCGGGCTCACGGGACAGTCACACCCCGTGGGCGACACACAGTGGCTCTGGGATCCCCCTGGGAGCGGCCACGTCCCTGTCACCTGGGTCTGGCTCCCCGCCTGCCCCTCCCGGCCTGGCGAGGGGGTGGGGGCAGGAACCTCCATGGGGTGCTGGTCCCTGTGCTCCCCCCTCCTCCTCCCCAGGGGCTGGGAAGAGCCCACGGTGCCGGCACACACGCAGGTCGGAGCATCCCGCCCCTCCTCGGGGTCTTGCACCCTCTGCTCTTTCTCTCTCCCCCTCACGGCAGCGGGATAAGCAGATGGGAGGGGAGGGGCCGGGGACGCAGGGGTCCCCGCGGGTCCGGGAGCCGGGACACTGACATGACAGCGGGTCAGGGTTCGGGTTCCGTGGGGACAGGGAGGCGTCACTTGCCTTGATGACGTCCTCGTCGGCCGACCTGCACTCCACGGCCCCCAGCAGGTCCGTCACGGCGCCGTCCTCCTCCACCGAGACCACCGTCACCGGCACGGCCACCGCCTCCCCCGTGAGGCCCGCGGTGTTCAGCACCTCCGCCTCCTGGAAGACCAAGCACAGCACCCCGCCGTGAACCGCGACCCCGGTTCCTGGTTCGATGCCCAGTCACTGAGCCACGCTGGCCGGTGCTGTCCCCCTTCTAATGCAGCGGTTCTCAACCTGTGGGTCGCGACCCCTTTGGCGGTCGAACGGCCCTTTCACAGGGGTCGCCTAAGACCATCCTGCATATCAGATATTTACATGACGATTCATCACAGTAGCAACATTACAGTTATGAAGTAGCAACGAAAATAATTTTATGGTTGGGTCACAACATGAGGAGCTGTATTTAAAGGGCCAGAAGGTTGAGAACCGCTGTAATCTAATGGGAATGGAAAGGTGTTACCAAGGTTACCCGGCCGCGGGAACATGTGACGTTGGGGAAAGGGTCGGTCACAGTGCGCACAAGGACCCCCCCCTCCCTCTCCCCTTGGCCACCCGTTCTGCTCAGGCAACACTGGGAATGGAAAGGTGTTACCAAGGTTACCCGGCCGCGCGGGAACATGTGATGTTGGGGAAAGGGTCGGTCACAGTGCGCACAAGGTCCCCCCCTCCCCACCCTCGCCCCATGGCTGCCCGTTCTGCTCAGGCAACACTTTCTACGCGTCTGACCATGTCCCGAGGGTCCCCGAGAACCTGAAGAACAGGCCAAAGTGCACGTCTGGGGACGTCAGGGTGAGAAAGCAGCCCCTGGGGCTCGGGGAGGACAGGGCACCCCCTGGGGTTTGGGGAGGACAGGTGCCACCTGGCCCCTCACTCCGGGCCGCTCTCTCTCTCCTCAGCCTGGATGATTAGGCCACTGATCATTTTAACAGACTAACCCCATTTCACCCCGAAGAGCGGGGTCTTTAAGGTGGAATTTCCACGGAAGAGAGGAAACCACACCGTTGCCGGCCTTTAAGTGCACGGGTGGGGCTGGCGGGCATCCCAGCGCCGGGGAGAGGGTGTGAAGGATGGGCCCCCCCTTCCTTTTTAATCCTTGGCTGGGCCCCCCCCGGGTAACAAAACACAAGGTGGAGAGAGAAGGTCAGAGCCCTCGTGGGCAGAGGAGAGGCTAACAGGCCACATGAGCCACCACTGGCCTGAGATTTAAGAGAGGCGACATCATTAACCTTTTAAAAATAGATTTTTATTGATGTCAGAGAGGAAGGGAGAGGGAGAGAGAGAAACATCAATGATGAGAGAGAACCATGGACCGGCTGCCTCCTGCACGCCCCCCACTGGAGATCGAGCCCACAACCCGGGCCTGTGCCCTGACCGTGAATCGAACGGTGACCTCCTGGTTCATAGGTGGATGCTCGACCACTGAGCCACGCCGGCCGGGCTGTGCGCATTTTTAAAACAAGCTAATCCTCGTGTTAGGAATAGCAGAACCCGTGCTCCAGGCCCCGTGACAAGCGACAAGGACAGCGTGTGTGCATGCACTCAGCACGTACCGGGGACCGACCATGGTCAACGCTGGCACGGTTCTTACAGACAACGGTGCCTCCTTCCCAACCGCTACACGGCGGCCTGGTGTGAGAGTGACGGCCGCGTGTAGGGGCCTCTTCCCGCCCTGGGTGTTTGCCCTTTGAAACCGGGGGGCGCCTGCCTGTCCCTTCCCCTACACAGCTGCCCCCCTTTCCCTGTCACCACAGCACAAGGCGTGTCAAATTGTCAAAGGCGGCAGAACCGCCCCCCGGCCGGGAGCAGCCGGGAGCAGCCGGTTTTCCGTACACGGAAATGAGAAATTAATTCAACTGGCCCGGAACCGACAGCGTGAACCGACATCAAAGGGCTGCTCCTACTGCGCTGAAGCGAAGTGTGTGGGCCTAGGAGAGGGTGTCTCTTGGATCGCCCCCCCCCCCCCCCCGCTCCAGAGGGACTGCTGGGGTGCGAGCCCTCTCCTGACCGGGAGCCATGGTCTGATTATCTATGCGGGCGGCCAGCCAGCGCCGCGGACCCGGGACCGCGGAGAGTCCAGAAGTCATCTGTGGGCCCGCCCCGGAATGCGCGATGAGTTTTTTCTCTCCTCCACCAGACAACTTCTTAATGATGTTGTCCTGAGGCCAATGCGAGGATGAATTTGCATGCCTCTAATTAGGAGGAAGGGATGCAATTAAGATTGCTCTGGGAGGCGGGGGACGTCCACCCCAGCTTTAAGCCAGACGCAGTCACCCTGCGACACCGGCCCCAGGACGCCTGGCCATGGGCGTGCTCTGCCAGTCTGCCCTCCATCTCCTGGTGGTGGGGTGACGGGGTGCGACCTTGCAGAGGGACAGGGCAGAGTTTTTTCTGCTCCCCAGCCGCAGCCTGTCCATCTCCGTGTCTTCCCGGTGGACAGGGCTGCGTCTCTGTGAGTCCCAGGCGGGCTGGCCCCTGAGGCTGCCCCCAGGGCTCGCTGAGTCAGACGGAGAGGGGTCACGGGGCGAGGGGTCACGGGAGTTGGGCGAAAAGGAAAACCATTCCAGACCCTGCAGAGTGGCCGAGCTCACGGACACTGACCCACTGTCGTCTGTGAGTCTAGAGGAGGCGTGTCCAGCAGAGCCGCTGGGTGACCAGGGCATGTGGTCGCCCCCCCCCCAGGTGTGATCTCCAGCATGGAGGTGCCCAGCTCGGTCCTCGCCCCTGAGCACCCAGGTGCCCCTGCCCGCCGGACCTCTCCGCGGGGTTCCTCCCTCCGCTAGCTTCGCCCTCAGCGTCCCAAACAGTACACGGCGTGATGGGCCCCCCGGGGGCTGCAGACCAAACCTCAGGCGCCACCACCCACTTTTCCTTCCCTGGTCCCCAGGGCGCTCCCGGCACAGGGTCCCATCCCGTCAGCACCACGGACAGCGCGCCCCCATTTCCTCCGCCACCTCCATTGCTGTCACCTTAAATCAGCCACCACCATGTCGCCAGGGTTATGAGAAAGCCCGCCTCGTCCTGTTCCCGCTCGTTCTGGCCGCTTTGGGAACCCGTTTTCCCCAGGAGCCCCCTGGCGGCCTGAGCACGCGGGGTGCCAGCTCCAGGGGGCGGGGTTGGCGCTGTCCACGCCCAGCCCAGCACTGACTGCAGGCACCTGCAGCGCTGACGTCACAGTTCACATGCTCCACCCCCAGCCCAGCGCTGACTACAGGCACCTGCAGCGCTGACGTCAGCACGTCACATGCCCCACCCCCAGGCCAGTTCTGACTGCAGGCACCTGCAGCTCTGACGTCA